AAGGCTTCGCTGAACCTTTACTATGCGTTGGCCAGTCTGTCTAGCAGAGCATCGGTCTTCTCAAGACCTTGGCACATGCTACGTGATGTCAGGAAGAGCACTTCAAGGACATTTTGAGTTCAATGAAGCCATCCGGCGTTGCTAGAGTGCCAGTAAGTAGCAAGGAAGCCCTCGATTTATATTGCGCAATGTGCGGCATGTTGGACTACGCTGACGAATGGTGAGAACGCTGACGAGAGACGGCATTATATCATGTATGAGATGGGTCTGTTACATAGCAGCTTGGAGATTATACAAGGGCGAAGAATTGTTGCTCCCAAGCTGTGGAGATTCTACGGCACTTGAGATAGGGATGTTGCGGAAGGAGTGCATATCCGGAAAAGCGAGATGACCGATACAGTCAGAGACCACAACGCCGTGGAGCTCAAGAAGATTCTGCCTCTGGCAAACATGCTTCTTGATCGGCTGTTTGACACATGAATGCTAGTACAGACGTGGTTGCCATGTGATTGTGTATGCGAGGCAATTGTCGGTTTACGATGGAGTGTGCGGATTGTGGCAGGAAATAAGCAGAAGTGCTTGCGCCTTTGGTATCCGACAGCGGTCTGCTTCAGCGTCCTCGGATGCCGGAGCGGTGACTTTGTTTCGGTCTTGATTGTGGCGATGGTGCTGTTTGCAGATTTGGCGTTGTGCAGGAGTCGACGGCAACATTCGGCACGAAAACCCTCCCCACAAAAGTACATGCACTGTACTCCGTACTGTGCGTGTTCCAGCACCAACAGGGATCTGCGGAATGGCACCTGGGGCCTGAGAAGCTTACGTGGGCCTGAGCCATGTCCATTTAGCTGCTGCGGCCCGTTGACAAGTCAGTGTTACATGTTAACTTTGACTCTCACGTCCTTCCGTTTTCGGAGTCCGCTTCAGTGGTCATTCAAGTTGAGGCCTTGCGATTCCTGAGTAAGTGGCCATTGGGACACCAAGTTCTATTCGTTTGGACTGTCGCACGGCATCAGATGAGGGGTCAACGGTATTGTTGCACCCATCCTGGTGCCATTGAGTGGTCAACCGCTTGCATTCATGTTGCTATTGACACACGGGGGGCCTGCAACGCCAACCCCGCCCGCAAGAGGCAGCAGATCCAGCTTGGGAATCTTTTTTTTCGGGAAGCAAAAGTTATCCTTTCTCCTCGTTTTCTCTGCTCGATTAAAATAGCCCTCTTGGACAACTGTAGAGTCTATGAACGTATTCCAATGAGCTATCATGGCCCAGGATGATGCCAGGTGGCCTGCAAGATTCGTATGTGTCCTTTGGGAAGGCAGATCTGCGTTCGATTCCTGGGCCAGTGCTTGGATTCCTTTTTTTTTTGGTACTTGACTTTTTTTCTTGGGGCCCCTCCCTTCCTGTATCCTGTGCCCTATTACCAACAGGTGATTAGTTTTAGGTGCTGGCACAGGCTATGCAGGCGTAGCCAGCAGCACCCCGTATTTTTCCTGTAGTAGTGACATGTACTCGCTTGCTGCGGACCAACCAGAGAACTTGGATCCCTTCCTCTTCTCCCTCCATGCCATTCCTCGACTCTCCGCTTCTCGTTGATTGATTGTTGATTAAGAATACGGCCCAGCGGCGTAGACATTCAGTTGTTCTGCCTGTAGCCTTGCCACGAAACTTTGGAATAGGCCATTTTTTCATTCGCCCCATCGTCCCAACTCCTGACAGCCTCACGCCGCGACCGTCTCAGCTCCAACTCCACAGGCCTCCACGACCGACGCATTTCAGGTCGTCATCCGGAGGGTCCGAGCCCATCAACTCGAAACACGGTCATGGGCGACCCTTTGGCGAGAGGGTCAGTCTTGTCCCTCTTCCTCCTCGTAACGACTTTGGGGAAAATGGCCGACGGACACGATCATCACGGCGACAGCGGTATTCCCGAGGGACAGACCGTCTCCTTGGATCCCCTGGTTAGTACTCCATTATCGACGAGGAGGACGTGAGCCGACAGGAAAATGGATCAATCCGAGCGAGGTCTGACGCGTGTGCTACAGGATACGACATTATGGATTCACATTTTTATCAACATGTTTGCCTACGGTGTCATCTTCCCTATCGGAATGGTGCTAGGAGTAAGAAGCACTTTGTCTATGGGACAATGTCTGTAGCCGCCCACTTTGCTAACTCTATACTTCAGATAACCAAGTCTCGATGGCACGTTCCTACGCAAGTTCTCGGTTCGGCTCTTGCGCTCCTAGGTTTCTTCTTGGGCCATGCCCACGGCGGCCGAGAATTCGTCAGCCACAATATTCATTCCATCTTTGCCAACATCCTGCAGCTTCTCTTGATTGGCCAGGTGGTTCTTGGTCTCTACTTGAAAGGTCACTGGGAGAAGGGCGTGAATGGTAAGATCAGAAAGCTGATCCGACCATGCCATTCAATTATCGGAAAGGCGATGCCTCTGTTGTCGTGGACACAGATGATTTTTGGAGGAATCACAGCTCTCGGGTTCTGCCAGGGCGAGCATGTTGGCCAGTGTGCCGCCCACTTCATCATGGGAGGCGCCTTTATCGCTTATGGTGTCATCTTGACCATTATACTTCTCGTTGGCCAGATCTGGATGCAGCGGACCGGACGATCGCAGGAATTCTTTGACAGCGCCGTCATTGCAGCCTGGGGCTGCGTCAACACCTTTACTGAACATCGCTGGGGGACCGCTTGGGTCAAGAACGACTGGCAGCACACAACCATGGGCATCATCTGGTGGTGTGCCGGCCTGGCGGGCATGTGGCTTAGCAGGGATCGAGATGGCAATCCAAAGCGCAACTTCATCCCCGGCTTCGTCATCCTGGTGACTGGCTGGGCCATGTCGGCACACCCTCAAGAGTTGATGGTTAGTGCCATGACACACAGCACATTCGGGAAAACCTTGATGGCCGCAGGACTCACCCGAATCATCGAGATTGCGTTTGTTTTGAAGGATAAACAATCTCTATCAGAGAGTGGACGGTCTTGGAACAGCTTCCAATTCATTCCTGTCTTTGTACGTGTACTGCCTTGGTGTCGATTTTATCATGGTTCCTCTTGCTAACTGGTATTAGCTTTTGTACGCTGCAGGCTTCCTTTTTATGGGTGCCACCGAGGAGCAGATGAACCTCGTTGCTCAATCCAGCATGGACGGCGTCTCGTACATCCTTATCATGTACTCGCTGGCTTTTCTCGTTTTCTTGTTCACCAACATGCTTATCCACCTTTACGACCGCCTCGCCAACCCTGATGTCAACACCAAGGATTTTGCCAGCGGCCACTCCCGCGCCAATGGACATGCTGCCGAGGAGGGCCAGCTCAGAGACGCTGAACAGTTTGAACTACACGACTTCATGAGCGATGACGAGGGTGGGGAGGGTCAGGCTATGCTGAGAGGAAGCTTGGACCGTCCAAGCATAGACACACCAAGCACTCTCGGCAAGAACAATCACGGGCGGGTGTAAAGAGTCAGGATTTGAGAAGGGGTATAGAAGAATCGAGATTGGTCATTTTTCTGTCTTGAGTGTTTTTGGGTATTCATGCAAGAGGCGTACTGGTGATGGGTAATTTTATATTTGGCTTCAAGCCCATGGGTATTATTTAGTATAACGAGCATAGCAGTTGCACGAGTTTCTTCATCGTCTACCGGCTGTGGCCCATCGAAGTATGTCATTCCTGATCTCCAGGAAGTGGTGTCAAGACGGATTGCCACGTCCGCTAAGCCAATACGTATTGTTCATGGCGGATGCGGTCTGTGTGTTGTCTGGCTGGTGACCAAGTGGGGGATGAGCCCATCCACATCCGCAACTTGTACAGTGGGGCAGGTTTTCTTTGCGCTGACCGAAAGTTGGGTCGAACCAGCTCTTTCTTTCCACGTTGTCTACACCATCAGCAGCAGAGCCGCAAGAAAAGAGGCTCAAAATCAACATGCCGTCCGTCAAAAACCCCAACGGCCCGTCCAAGAACCGGCTCGCCGCCCGCGCTGCCGCCGCCAAAAAGGTCCGGAGAAAGCGCAGCGAACTGGCCCGGAACAAAATTTCAAAGCAGGACGTTGCCCGCGGCGCAAGACCCGGAATCCTACCCACGAGCGGTCCGCGAGCGAAAGTGAGCGCCAAAAAGGCGAGGAAGTTGGAGAAGAAGATGGGATATGCGCTCAAGAGAAAAATGGAGGCCGAGGGGGAGAAGCAGATGCTTGGTGAGCTTGAACTTGCGACTGATTTTTGGGTCTCTCTTCAAGGGCAGCACTAATGAGTCTTTGTAGATGCGCCCGATATGGACGCCGAGGTTGAGAAGCAGCTACATGGGGAGAACGAAATGGACATCCAGTGATGAACGGATAGTAATCCACGCTCTTTGCCCTTGAACATTTTACGATGCGATGAGGGGGGTAGTGGGGAGGCAGGCATGGCATTTTGCACGACGATTGTTGCGACACGGTATATGGTGGTTAGCGTGTATTTCCCTTCATGGTCACGGAAAGGCGTTGGGGGCTGGTAAAAGTTGAGAAATACTATACTGATGACTGTTTCTTTTTGTTGTGCTGACGACTTTGAAATGCGTGCGGGTGGTGTTGATGGTGAAGAGATGACTCAACGCTGGGAGATGGCAGAGGAACAAATCAATGAGGCGGGATCCTATTGTCTGTTTGGATTCTGTGCTGTCGCGGATTGTGCCAAATTGGGTGCTCGTGAATAGCAAGCAGCTCCGTGACTGCCATTGCTTCATGCTATTGTTGCAACCACCTTGGTAGACGTGCTCTTTTCACCACTTTCTCTTCCTCCTCGTCCTCTTTTTTTTTCCCTTTATTTTTTTCCCTTTCCCCTCTTCCAGAGATGAAATCGGGACTAAAAAGAATCCCCATCCAAATGTTCTCGCGGGGGTACTTTGCACTTTCCTCAGCCAAGTTTCGTTTATTTCAAGTCATTTTTGTTCATTTTAATCAACTCTTGGGGAATGCATCATCTAAAATAAATGATTGGCCTACAATGGTACACACCGGAGTCGCTACCAAGGAATCTGTGCTTCCCGGCAATGGAAGCCCCCGACGTGGCAGCGACCAGGCTTGTGGCACAGTCACACGAGCGGCAACTGGCAGCGGTACGGTTTAATATTAATTATCGACATGATGAAAACTAACACGGCGCTTCAGCTTGTGACGACGCCCAAGACCTGGCGGCCAGAATAGAAGCTCTGTCCGAGTCGCTGCACAACTCGTTGCCCCTAGGTTTGATTCCCTATAAACTGGCCGAGGCGCTTCGACACCACTCCAACCATCGTCTCCAACTAGCAAGAGAACAAGGCATTAAACTCGAGCATCTTTACATCGGCACAGACTGTCTTCCTACGTGGAGCACTCTCTATTGGGACCCCGAGAACGAGTCCCTCCATAACACAATACAAATGCACCTCCTCCACCTTCAGCTTGCTCAAAAGTTGGGAGAGTTTCTGCAGCAGCAGATTCGAGACAAGAGCAATCGGAGGTTGCGTCAGGCTCTGGCGCTGGGCATCAAACTCGAAAACATATTCATCGGCGAGTCCCTGCTGCCAGAGTGGACTGCCGATAAGGGCGGCCGGGGCGGGG